CTGCCCCCAGAAAACTCTTTTGTGAATCTACTTTAAAAGCGGCTCTCAAAATCCACAAAAATTATGGAAGGACGTAAATCAAACCTTGCCCTCGTTCATCTTAACTCATACCTTCAGCAAACGTTTAGTAAGTGCATTTGTAATCAGTACCAGGTACCCTATTGGTTCCTTCCTAAGGGTTTACTGGTTAGCCGTTTCTGCCACAAATTAACCAAAGACACCACAAGTTCAAACAACGGACATTTTGGTTTCTCATCATTTCGAAGGGTCAAAAAAGGGAAGTCGGTTTTCCTGAATGGTTTCTATTTAAGATCTCTCGTGAGGCTGTCATCAAGCTGGTGGGTAGAGCTGGCATGATTTGGAGACTCAACTAAAATGTAAGGACCTGCTTTAAAGTTTACTCTCATGCTCGGTGGGCCCTTGGTTCCTCGGTAACCACAGATGATGGTCAAGTTGCTCTCTACCTAGATCTCCCCTGGGATGAAAGAGAGAGACACACAGAGACAGAGACAGACAGACAGAAAGAATCTACAGACCAGAGTTGGCCTTTTATCACCTAGTCATCAGAGTAGGGCAACGCCACCCTCAGAAACTAGCGGTCGGCACTTAAGGGGTGGATTATCAGAGAATCAACAGAAACAACTTTAAAACTATGAAGGAAGATTGAATATAAAGATAAAAGGTTAACATTTTCTTCATTTATGCTCCATATTTTTGCTAATTATAATCAGCGTGTGTTGTTTTGAAACTCGATTTTCTGTCCATTGACAATATACATCATTCTATGTTTGGCACAGGATGAGAAATACTTAGACTTGTGTCAAAGGCAAACCTGACCTCTCTCAATCCTTCTAGAAAAAAAAAACTGGAAAGCATCAGTTTCTCTTGAAGATGCTGACGATCTTTCCCCAAGAGATGCTATTTTCTGTTCATATGGCAGCCTACTGCATGTATGCAGAATGCTAGGAGGTTTGGGTACTTGAGTGGCTCAAAGACAATAGGGAAAAATTAAGATGGCATTTATTTCTTCTGGAGATGCAGTGTGCACAGCACCTATATAAGTCAGAAGGCAATTGATGGAAGTTGGTTCTTTCCTTCTACTACGCGGGTTCCAGGGATTGAACTCGGCTTGTCAAGCAAATGCTTTATCTCTGAGCCATCTTAGCAGCCCACAGAAATTTAATAGCATTGGAAAATCTAGGAACTTCCACAAAAATATACTTCCCAATGAATTTTAATTCTCCAATGTATTCAACTTTCGATGGTTTGACTCTATTTTTGATCTGCTGAACTGTCTAGTAGATTCAAATGTTTCACCATTGTCCTTCACCTTCTATAATGAATTCTGAAGCAGAAATTCCATCTGTCACTTAGAGGATACAGCGTCTCATCTCCGAACTGAAATCAAGTTCAACAAGCGAAGCACCACTTCATCACCAGCAACGTGGAAAGCTGCAAATCAGTTAAACTCCCCTTGCATTCAGAAGAACCTGGGAATTGCACCTACAATGGGTTTTCAAAAGGGGTTGGTTGTCTGTGGTTCTCAGAAGCGCACAGGGGTCAGCGACACTGACTCTTTTGGTCTTCTCTGTGACTCAGACCCGACCCCCACCCACACACTCTTATCTGTCCCCGTTCACTGCCGCTCCGATGCCACACCAACACCACAGTATCCCTCGTTGCGTTATTTTTTAAACCGCAGAAGAAAACCACCCACATGCAGGTTTCTGAAGAGCTACATGTGGCTAAGGAAGCTGCGGGTTGGAATGTGGCCCTGTAATCCTCTCAGAGGGGTGGAGAGGCAACAAATCCAGAGAGGGCTCCAAATGCCACCGATGCCCCTTCCAGCTAAATTTTGCATTTCGTTTTCTCCCTTTAAAATCTCTACTGGCTACACATCTGAGAAGGCTTAAGAGCATAATTTATTCCATATAAGGTTCCCAGTAATTTATGCTCGGTAAATTGGCAACATAGGAAGAGGTTTTTTTTTTTTTTTCATTGACTACCCCGGAAGATTATTAAAGGTGGCCTTGCGCAAGTAAAGACTGCCCGAATGGCCATACTATTCACATAAGGAAATTGCCTGGCACCTTGGATTTTAAATGGAAACCAGTTTTAACTTTAGAATTCATAAGTTGATAATGCCATTTTTTTTAACAATTGTCACTTCATGCGCAAGCCTTCTCTATGTCGTCTAGCTCAGGGATGGACTTCATCTTACCCAGAGAGAGTAAATACAAGAAAATCTTCTCTCTATAGCTCACTCTATTTCTGTATTTTTTTTTTCAATTTCAGATTTATACCAAGATAATAGCTCAGTGCCCCGCGATGCTTGCTTTCTGACAGGTAAATATTAACTATTTGTTCTCATCTCTGCCTTTCCCAGCAAGAGATGGAATTAGGACCAGCGACTTTGCTGTTTTGCCTTTGGATGAAAACCAGATTGGATCTATATGTACAAGGTCAACCCTATGCTGGCAAAGCAGGAACTAGGCTCCATTATTTAAACAAAAGATCCCAAGCGTTTAGATATTCATAGTTTATACCCAATGATTAATGCATCTTTTGAATTTCCCTCCCGAGTTTTTTTGCATCCAGGAAATATAATCAAAGATCGAACAGTATTATTTGTAATTATTCAATAACAAGGTCATGGCACTTCCTTCCCTGATGTTTATTATGTTAGGACTCCTTGCACTGAGAATACCAGACAGACAAATTTGTTGAAAAAAAAAATTGTTTGGATTCTTAGTAGTAGGAATTTGCGTGAGAGCAGATTTCTGCAAGTTGGTAGGGGGGAAATAAGCTGTTCTGGCTACTGTGTTTACCAGCTTTGCATGACTATAATAAATACCTGAGATAATCAGCTTATAAAGAGAAAAGGTTAATTGTGTTCACAGTTTTGACGGTTCTGGTCTATCAGTGGAAGGCAATACCCCAGCGCGGGAGCATAGCAGCAGCAGAGCATATCCCAAGGCTGGGAAGGAACGTACCTGGGAGAAGGATTGAGGCTAGCATTCCCCTAGTGGGTATGCCACAGTGATGTCAGGCTTCCTACTAAATCTCATCTCTTAAAGATTCTACAATTGCAACAGGACGTGAGGGACTTTGGAGCAAAGTTAAGATACGACAACAGGAAGCTCACATCAGAATCCTAAAAGTAAAACCAGCCTACGTTATATAGCCTGTGCGGAGCAGTCAGAACACGAGAGAGTTGAAACAGGATCTTCTGAGTGCATATCTGTGTCATCTACTTCCACTTGAATCTCCTGAAACAGGCTGTAGAGGCCCACAGTGTAATGTTGACATCCAAAGTTTGATTCTGTCCGGTGAGGGGTTGGAAGTCTCACAATTTTGCCTGTCTTTGAGTCATGTGACAGTTGCTAGGTATTTGTATATTTCCTCAATTGTCCAGATACCAAGACATAGGCAAATATCCCAGAGATGATGATTAGGGCTAACACAGCCTTCTCAACTCAAAGTAAACAAAAGCCAGAAACTTCTTTACTGAAAACTTCAACGGTTCCCTAGAGCTGTGAACACCAGAAGGCATATGATGCAAAAAAAATGTGCTTTTCTTCACTCATGAAGCCCTTTGAGATCTGAATTCTTAAAAGATAATTCCCATGAGAGATGGGGCAGAATCCAGAATTTTTAAAGGAAGAATAAGTCTAGAAAAGAATAAGACAATGTCATGCCACTAAGCCAGTGGGAATTTGAAATTACTCCAAGCCAGCTAGGAGAGTGGCTAAAACATAAGGAAGAATTCAGAGGGAGCTGATCATGTTTTGATTGAATTTAATGCTTTTCTCCATGCTTGGTTATCAGCTCTAATTGATGCCTGTGTTGAAACATGTTAACATAGGGCAGTGGTATAGAAGGAAGGCATTAAAGTCTCATAGGTGTGTGGATCTTCCCCTGTATGAATCTTGCCCTCTGCCCAAGACACTGGCCATAAGACATTCTTAGCTTTTAAGAGTCCGGGTTATTGCCATTTTCTAGACCACTCCAAGTTATTAGGAAGCTAGGTGTGGGGGGAGGGGAGAGAGAGAGAGTTCGCCTTCACTCATTCTTTAGCTGAACTCAGAAAGTATCTTCAGAATTGCCAATACTATACATGATGTAATAAATATATATGCAAAGGTCAGGTTTTAGTTCTGTGAGATTTTACAATGGCTCTAAGATATAGAAATACCCATGTGGGGAACACGGTTGAGCACTAACATCAAGCTGTGACTCAAGCAACAAATAATAAAGCATTGATTGGAAGACTCCTGAACAGTGTTTTTTACACTTAAGTTTCTTGAAAGTGAGTATCCAAGGTCAAGGTTGAGTGCCCAGTTCAATGTCTACACCCAGACTCCTCCATTTCCCCATGCCGGCCCCACCATAAATAATAAACCATTTGACAATGACTATTTTATGTAATCATAATTAAACATCCCAAATGGCAAACATAAAAAGATGTTCAGATGCTCCCACCATCATTACATAAATTAAAAACCTATATTCTTCAACATGCATCATTCATTCATTCAGAATATACTGAGCTTTAATTACGAGCCTGGCACAATGCCAGGAGCTGGAAACATAAGTGAAGTCAGCCAGCCTCCAAGGAGCTTCCAGCCCTAAGGGAAAGACCCATTGTGAAGGAACCAAAACAGTGTGTTTCATCTGTTCTGATGGAGGCTCAGGCTCTGAAGAGGAAGCCAAAGGTACCAACATTTTTGGCACCTGCGCAAAGTTAGCAAACCATTCTGGCAGGGTTGTTTTGGGATGCCGTTCCTCCTGTACTAACCTCCTCTGCTGCTTCCACAACCGTACCTAGTTGGAAGTGTTCTCTCTGCCTTAATCTCACATATGAATGTCCAGGACACAAGGTACTGAATGATCCCACCTAAATTTGCCTAGAATAGAAACTTCATCTTCTAGGTTATGATTTTAATTCCCCCACCACCACCACTCATAAAATGACACAGAGAGAACACACTGTGATTCAGAACTTTGTGAAAACTTGTAGATGCTTTATGCAAATTCTAGTGATCTAAGGAACAATGATTTTGACCATCCCCCAGCGGAAGTAGAACCTGGCTGGTCCCTGCTTTTGCTCTGTGCTTCCCAGCATCAGGGCTCTTTCTGGCACCCTTGTCTCCATCCACAACTTCTGAGTCTCATGTCAAAGCCACTTCAATTTGCAGATTGTCTACAGAGAGTTGTCCTTCTAAAGTTCTTGTCATTAGTTACCCGAGTGCATGTTTTCTTGCGTCATGATGGACATCTCTTGCCTATTCAAGAAATACATAAATCTGTAAGTGAGCATGTTCGCATGAAAAGCACTAAAATAATTATTCTTTCTGTGCTACTAGATTCTCACCCGTTGACCTTAAGTGTGTCACTTGATTCTTTGGAACTTTTCTGTTCATGCTTAAGGTCTTGATCATAAAGATTATGGAATATAGCTAAAAAGCAACCTCTTGAACATTTTGGACCTCCTGAAATTACTATGAACAGATAATGGAAGCAGATTTAAGAGCAAAATGTGGAGCGACGCCCTTTGGTACTTGTTCCTTCACCAGCACACAGGAACTGGTAACAAAAATGGAGATTTCTGTGTGCCACTCTTAGAGCACATCTGAGGCTCTGTGCAGAATGTGACAGTTACTTAGGAAAAATATTATTCTCGTTGTATTACCTTCAGCATTGTGCCCGCCATCACTGAGCACGTGCTATGGTAGACCAGATGTTCTGGTGTTGTGATAACATTGCTTTCCTGTCTTTCAGCCTGTAGTAATTGGCCACTGCAAAGTTGCCCATATCACGGGTTTTCTTTCTTCCCCATTCTCTTACGAATGTAAGGTCCTTCTGATGTGCTCTCGCAAAGGAATCAGTCATAGGCTCCTTGAAAACCATCACAGTCCCTAGTTCATCTCTAAAATATGAAAAAGACTGGGATCACAGTGGCCAAGCCCTGGGGCCAGTTGGCTTTGTCATGGAGGGGTTTCCACTGGCCACCTGTCTGCTATTTTACAGTTGAGCAGTCAAGATGCCGAAGACCTTGCTAGGCTCCCTGCAGCATAGCACAGATCTCTAGATATGGGTACTGCTCTGCCCCCAGAGAGATTCCCATAGCATCTAAGAGGACTTAATTATCTCCTGAACCAATCTGAGAGTAAAGTTGGCTGCTGGCAGGGTCAGCATGGCTGTATCTGAAATAAGCGTCGTTCTAGTTGGTTTAGCTTGATATAGGATTGTTTAGCTCCCTATGCCCATTTTCCTAATAATAATGATGAGAGAGAGAGAGACAGAGAGACAGACAGAGAGACAGAGAGAATAGACAATTTAGGACTTCTGGGTGTCGTGGGGCTGTGAATAAATAGTGCATTTAGGCTGGAGATATAGCATAATAGTAGAGCGCTTGGCATGTGCACATCAAACTCTGAGTTCGATTCCTAGTACTGGGAGGGTGGAGAAAACATCATTTGGGGCTGTGGGTATAGCTCAGGTGACAGAGTGCTTGACTAGTGTAAAGCCTTGGGTTTGAGTCCCCTCTATGCCGATGCACGGCGAACAATCAGGCTTAGTGCTTCATGCTGGTAATCCCAGGGGTCAAGATGTAGCGGCAAAGAAGGTTAGAAATTCAAGGTTATCACCAGTTTGCATAGCAAGTTTCAAACCAGCCTGGGCAACTTGAGACACTATCTCACCCAAAACAAAAAGGGGAGGGGAAAGAAAGGAAAGGAAGGAGAAGGAGAAAGAGAGAGATTTGGAGAGAAGGTGCTTAGTTGCGTGGGACTCAGAACTCTTAGAACTCTTTTCAGCTCTCCTCCTTTCTGTTTTCTTGTTTGTCTGTCCAGAAACCCGTTTGGGGCACCATGGTTTTTTATCACGAAGGTTTCACTGTGAGTAATAATGTGAGAACTGCCTCAATCAAGTCTGGAGATGCGGATGTCTAAATTGCATGGATATGGCTTCTATCAGGATCAGAGGCCAGGCAGACATAGACCAGGGCAGGGAAACCAGAGCCAGCGACAAAACCTCCCTCCTATCCTTGAACCTGGTATCTTGGAGCCCTGCCAAGAGGATTTTCTCTGGGTCCTTGGGTGCTCTGGAGCCCGTTCTCCCTTGAGTGCCCCACTCCCTGCTCTTGGGAGGAAACCTAGAAAGGCAGGTGCAGCCCTGCCAGGTCTTGAGGATGCTGAGGAAGGTCAAATCAAATATTCTTGGACCACCTGCTGAAGGAAGGTAGGACACCTGTGCTGTTTCCTGGTGGTTCATCATCAAAATTCATCCTTACCCCAGCTCCCAGGTCAACTCCAAGTCAGAGCCCTCATTTTCCAGTCTTTCAGGCATCCCATCCATCTCATCCAGTTCTCCTCCTCTGGAGCCTGAAGTCCTGGTGACAATTCATCCACCCTGCCTCCGGGACACACAGGAAGATACGGAGGAAGATAGATACAAATGAGGTTAGCACCTGGGTGGATGGGAGGATGGATGGGGGTGCACATCGATTCTCATACTTCTCCCCCATGGCAGTTCCAATCCCGCCTCCCCCACCCCCAGTACTTCCAAGACAGAGGCCCTTCCCCCACACCTAACCAGGTGTTTGGGAAGGGGTAAAGCAAAGATGACTAAGCCGGTTTGTACCCTACTAGGTTCTTTGGTTAACCCCAACCACAGTCCGAACGCTCTCCCAGGAAGCCTTGCAGGACCCACTTGTAGCCTTTACCTTGGAGCCTATCAAAATTGGCAGTAAAGTGGACAGATAGACGTACGTGCAGCTATGAAGCCAGTGACCCAAAGACTACACTAAAGGCTGGAGGATTCTGACCGTCCGCAAAAAGGGGGGAAAAAAACTAAGGTGTACTTTGTACCCCCAAAAACTACACTGCGGGGGGGGGGGTGGGGGGATGGATCACGAAGAATGAGAGTGGCGGAGGGGGAGGGGAGTTGGTCCTTCCCATCAGAGGGCAGACAGAGAGGGCCGGTATGAGGAAGAGTGTGGAAGATGAGGGATGGCAAAGTAGGAGGCAGAATCTGGGAGGTGGTTCTAGCAAGGGAAGTAAGTGGTGGAGGACACTGGATGAAGCAAATAATTCAACTGGGGGGGGGGAGGGGCAGGGGTGAAGTGTGTGTGGGTCTCTAGCCCCTAACCATGTGGCAGCCAACCTGATTTCCTGGTGACCCCAGGAAATCACCGGGGCAGGATGGTGGAGCGCTTTGCAGCAGATAGCTCCGGAGTTCTAACTAAACGGAGATGCGAAGGCAAAAGCCTAGGCGATGTGGAACCCCTATCAAAATAATAATTCTTCTCGATGTCTGCCACTTCTGGAGTGTAGCTTTGGACCCTAGTTCGAGAGGGCCTCCCACACTCCGGGGAGCTCCTGGAGTGTCAACAAGATCAGGGACACTCGCGGATCGGCAGGAATTCTCTTGGGATCAGCTTCCGGATTTTCCTTGCTGGGTCGGCCAAGCGGTGCCCCAGCCCGGTGGGGCAGCTCTGCTTGGAGTGTGGCCTGCGACACAGGCAGGGACACAGCAGCCTCAGACCGCAAACACAACTTTTTTGAAACGCATTGCTGTCCCCCTGAAAGGTGTTATAACAGCAATTCAATTACAGTAAATGGCGCGCATCGTCCGCACAGCTGGGAAGTCAGTAACTATCTGCGACTAAATCCAGCTAGACTCGACACACATACACACACACACACACACACACACACACGCACGCACGCACGCACGCACCAACCCTTCTGATTCCTCCGGTTCTGTCCTTTTATTTTCCACTCGATTGCAAACGCAGCTAGGCCACAGGTTAATAAACCCCAAAGCGCTTAGTCTATCTGGACAAGACGTGCTGAGAAATTAGCGCCAAGTCCTAAAAATTGGACCCTGGAAATAGAAAGATTTCCAAAAGTTTCCCCCCATTTTCTTCCTTGCCTCCGAGGGGCAGAACTTTTAGTCTAGTCTGTGACAGAGTTGCCCGTGGTGATCCCTCCCGGGGAGCTGCTCCGAATGCATTCACCTGGTGGTTTGAGAACTTAAGTAATGGAGTCTCCTATCGGGAAACGGTGTCCTCTACCCAGCCAGAGTGGTCTGCAGGCGGCTATGTTTCCAAATCTAGATTACACTGCAAATTACAGACACCCTGGACACTTTCAAGAGTCAAGGCTCATACTGCCGTGCTAAATTTTCAGCAGCCTCCATGAAATGCGTATCAGCAAAAAAGCAGCAGAGGAAGAGGGGGCTGAGGCAAGAGAAGAAAGAAACCTGCTCCGGTCAGCCACAGCAAACTTTTAAGTAAAATGTAAAATTGGTGTTTTTTCTTTTAAAGTTGAAATGATGATAGTTTGAAAGAAGATTTTTTTTTGTGGGCATCATACCCACTCACCCAGACACCAATAAATAACTAAATAAAATGAATAAAATAATAAAAGAACAAGAAGAAAGGGGTTGCCTGGAGTTTTGGTTTCATTATACTTTTTTAAAATATAACGTTTTAGTAATGTCAAGATGATCCCTCAGGGGGTTCTAGCATGTTGTTCCCAACTCATTGGGACATTCCATTGCCTGGGGTGGCAGAAGCTTTCCGGAGCAAGGCATATTGGAGCTTCAAATGGTTTGGGAATATTTTCTTCTCAAGTAACACGCTGTTGTAGCGGGCCAAGGATTTCAGTGTTTGCCTTTCGGGAGGGCACCTGTTTGAGTGAGACCAGGCCGCAAAGCGTTACTTAGTTCTCCACTTGGGCCAACTCCGGTTCTGCTGTGGGCTGCGCCCTTCTCTGGCAGCCAGCTTACTGAGAGGGTGAGCAGGATCTGATCCGGGTCTCTTGATCTGAAGCCACTGGGCAGAGCAATGTCAAGGAAAAGTCTTAGAGTTTGAGTCTGTAAAGGGCCTAGAGTTCGAAGCTCTCTCTGCTCCACCTTCGTTCTGCCCCAGAGACAACAAGGGAACCCAGGTCTGCGCACTACGAAAGACGTTTGAGCTGCTTTTGGCTTTGTTTGCTTTAAAATCTAGCTATAGTGTTTCACCCTAATCTCAGAGAAGCCTCTGACCTACACTGTGTTTGATCCTTCTCTAAACTCCTGTTTGTTTGTTTGTTCAATTTTTTTTTAAGAGAGAGAGAGAAACGGTGGGAAAAGGGTTACCCCGAGCTGGAGGTGGTTAAAAAAAAAAAAAAGAATTGTTAACTATCGGAAGAGGTCGCGGGCTGCCTGTGATCTGGGGTTGCTGCCCTCCAGGGTCTTTGCCCCTGGAGAGCTTGGTTATGAAGTTGCCGAAGGGACGTTCTGCGCCAGTCCTTGGCAGGTCCAGGTCGCCAAGGATCTCGTCCCTGGCCCCCTAGCCGTCCTCTTTTGTAAATAAAGTTAGTAGTCTACCAGAGCTCTACATTGATGTATTTTGTTGTTGCTTTTAAGAAGAGTCAAGCTAGCTTTAAACACTGCAGAAGTTGCCTCCAAGACCTCCTCATTCTGCCTGGAATCTCTCCGGCATCTTTCAGGAGACCTCTGGGGCTCTGAGCCAGCTTGCGACTGCGGAACCGGATGCGAATCCCAGCTGGAACTGTCTCTTCCCTAGCTAGGGAGCAACACCGGCAAGGATCGCTCAGGAGTCCTTTTTCCTGCTCTCCCCATTCCCCCCAGTTCTTGCTTCAGCTCCATTTTCTCTCTCTAGCACTCAGTCAAAAGTCCCTTCCAATTCAAGGCGCAAAATCCTTCTTTCCCAGCGGGAGAGGGACGGAGGGAAGGGCTGGGAGCCTCAGAGGTAGCCAGCCCTTCTCAGCACTACATCTCCCCGGTTCTTTGCTTCCTTCAAGTGTTTTACCGAAGTGCTTGAGCTTCTCTCAATCCCTCTACTGTGGATTTGATGATCCGAGGAATAGCAGCAGCTCCCACTGTTATTCGACCTCTGCCTTCAAATTTTCCAAAATAGGAAGTTCCTCAAATGGACAACTTGAGTGCCTCTGGTGGGCCCTGGATGTGGGTTGCAGCCAGGGGCCAAGTTCTCTTCTGCTTAGCACACGCGGACAGGGAGAGGGAGGAGAGGAGTTGGGTTGCCCAGCTTGTCAATCACCTCTATAGTTTAACCTCTGCACCCGAACCCTGAAGTGTCTACCTTGACCAGGACAAGACTCTTCAAAGTTAATCTAGAAAGCCAATCAGAGCAATTCCTACACTTTTCTTCCTTTGCCTACCTATGAAACAATTACATTATTAATGGCTTTAGTCCATAGCTGAGAAACAAGAAACCGCTATTAAAATTCTATTCGGTTGTTCGGTTGTTCTCCTCCACACTTCTCAACACTTAATATATGCACTGCAGGGGCACCCTCAGAAATCTCACTTCTGATGGTCTTGGTTTGGGGTTTTAAAAGACAACTCTAACTCACACCATTTTCAAAAATACCCTGTTTGTTTCCCTGAGATAGCCAGGGAAAGTTAAAACAATCAAAGCAATGTTGAATTGGCCGCTTTTTTTTTCTGCTCCGAAAGTTTGCTCAATTGTACACAATTCTTTCTTCTGGTTCTCATTTTTGCTTCTCTGCAGTTGTTTTTGTTCCCAAGGCAATGTCTTGCTGCTCCCCTGACTGTCTACCCAACCCTTTTGCTTCTTATTTCAGAGTTTCTTGGATTATTCTATTCTCGTAGATTCTTCTCCTGTTTTCTCTCTGGTGGACCAATCACAGGGACAACTGTTTTATTTGAACCAGGAAGAGCTGATAGCTTGGGGAGAGGGGATAAAATTCAAGTGAGCATTTACCCCCTGGGGAAAAAAAATCAGGTAGTCAAGCCAATCTTTTAGGGATTGAAGGTGCATGGTGTGTGTGTGTGTGTGTGTGTGTTTAAGTGTATATCTCTGCAATAATGCTCACAGATGTGACTATGTATGGAGATGACAATGTTGATAAGCTGTCTGGTATCAACATGAATATTAGTCTTAGAGTGTAAACTGAATGAGAAATCATCCCAGTGTGGGCGAATGAGAAGCAACCCTAAGCATTTAGTAGTTAGTCGTCAATTATTACAAACAAAGTTCTTTTTGAGCTCCCTTCACTTGCTAGAAATGAGTCATCAGCGCGCTGCTCTCTCTCTCTCTCTCTCTCTCTCTCTCTCTCTCTCCCTCTCTCTCGGAAATAAGAACCTAAATTCTTTTTTGGCTAAAAGGACTGAGTCTAGGATGCAGTTTTGTCTTTCTTTTCTGACTACTCTGTCATCCACACAGAATCACAATCATGTCAAGATATCTGTCTAGAAAAAGGAGAGGGAGAGGGAGAGAGAAGGAGGGAGGGAGGGAGGGAGGGAGGGAGGGAGGGAGGGAGGATGCTAGTGAGAAAAACCCTACAGCCATGGCCATCTTTGCATCAAAATTTTCCAGACCTCTATTTTTTACTGTGATCCCGCTGATCTGAGTTTGA